ATAACGTGATAGCGCGCGGATTTTTTTTCCCCTGCGTGATAGCAATACGCTTCCGTACTGAGCTGTTGGCTTTAAGTAACTGAGCAATTTAGTTGGATAGCACAGTACTAATGTCTGAAAATAAACTGCTTTAAAGTCACCATCAACCAGAAACTAAATAATATTTCTGTTTTTATTTCAGATTTAATCAGTCGCACACTTAGTTCTTATTAGTGTTTAAAAGAGGACGAGTTAAAACACTGTTTAGTCAAAGTTAAACATGAAACTTCAACGTTCATTACAAGTGGCCCTTCGAGGGCCACCATAACGCTCATGTGGCCCTCAGTGAAAATGAGTTTGACACCCCTGCACTAAACAATAAAAGCTGTAATTATATTTTATTGCTAAATGCATTCAGTTATGAAAAAATTTGACGCTAAAACTCAAGTCGTCACAAGTTGCAAAACTATACATCTTTTWCAAATAAAAWCTTAAAATTTCTCTTTTTGTTAGAYTCTAACATGTCAGTGTTTTCCCTGCCATAATTCACAAAAAAACTCAWAAATGGAAAAAAATGCAGTTCCATCCATCAAATCTAATAATGACACAGGTTTGTTTTTACAGAATAACCTCTGGTCCCTACCCACAATGCCATGCACAGAAAACTACTAGATGGTCTATTGTGATGGACTGAAGATAAAAAAAAATCTGCAATCAAACTGAGATAATTAAKACTGACTAAATTGCACAAACAATTTTGCACAGCTCTGGCAGGAATGTACCGTACATGTTGCAGTTTACTCTATAGAGATACCAAATCTGTTTTATTCCAAGTGAAGATTTAAAAAAATCCAACTAGTGGCCAAATGTTAATAAAATAAAATAAATAAAAATACTGTTCTGCTAAATTAATAACCCTCCTGCTGTACTTGGGTCAAAYTGACCCCTGAGGTTTCTGTTTTACAGCCTCAAGGGTTAATTTGACCCAAGAACAGCAGGAGGGTTGAACTGACTTTTTTAATTTGACCCCTGGTAAACAAGGGAATATGAAGGCAAAACCTATTTAAATTCAATTAAACCCCTCATATTTCACTTAAATATCTTTACATTTGGATAAATTGTTGCCCAGTAACAGTGAGTGACGTCACCTAAAGTACAAGAGCCAAGTTTATGCTGTAATTATAATGAAAACATCATGTTTATTACTAAATGCTTATCTTGAAATCTCCTTTTCCCTTGACTCCCTTGTCCTTTTGATATTTCTCTAAAGACCAAAGCTATCAACAGGAAGCAGCCGATACGCTACCAGATGGACAGCTACGAGCAGCCGAGCAGGCGGTCGGAGGATGTGGCCGTAAAGGTCAGAGTCAAAGGCCACAAGTTGTGAAAGGGTTAGAAAAAGAGTGCATCGAATCCCAAACTGTACAACTGGAACAAATCTAACACAGATTTACTGGTCATAGTCCAAGTTTTGAACAATTTAGAGGGTTTACTTCAACAAAACATAAGAATAGGGATGTAATTTTACCAATTTATGTAAAKTACAGGCTAAATACAGCTTAGCTGTATCTAAATCATTTTGTCAGTTCTTTGTGTGTTCAGCATTCAGTAACTTCTCAAATGGCTGCCTGTTACATTTACAGTCCTCTTTGWAACGAGTCTATTTTAGACACTGAAGAATGGGGGTACTGTTCTGATGGAAATGATTGGGGGTGTTTTAAAGATAAAAGCATGGAAGGAAGGTTTAAGCTGATAAATTATCATCTAGAAAAACTGGTTGAGTCTTAAAGTAACCCAAAGATTAACTAATTTGGTGGTAATATGTTGTATGGATTTAGAAATGCTTCACTTGTAGACTGTTTATTAAGTAATGAGATTCATACGGTTAAAGTTCTTCAATTCTAAAGTTTTATTTATTAAAACAGGATCCTTTAGAATCACCTTTAGCAGCAATAAGTTGAAGTAAATGTTGATTTTGTCCCACAACTCCTCTTGTAGACATTTGTTTCAGCACAGYATTTCAGTCAGGCTGAAGCCTGGTCAGGTTTTGCAGATTCAAAGACCACATGGTCATTCTGTCCTGATGTTTAAATTATAGATCTGAAAGAGGATATGCTTTTTTTTCTTCTATGACTTTATATGTGACATGTTCTTTGTTGGTGTATCTGTGTTTGTGTGTATTCACGGACTCCCTGTTCTGTCAGGAAGTGTWGAACTCACCAGAGAATTTGTTGCCCCTTGAAGAGGGCTTGAAGGGGGCTTGTGAAAGTGTCCAGATTTTTCTCAGCCACTCTATAAAGGCTCCCCTTCCTGTCTCATCCCTATGGAGTGACACCACTGTCCAGACGGCTGTCCACTCATTCACGTCCAATATGCCATTGTGTTCCCACACTAAGCGGCGGGTGAGGTTTCAGCAGCTCATTGCGTGTAGTCAGTGCTGGCTCTAGCTGTTTTGGTGCCCTAGGCGAGTTGAACTATGTCCCACCCATCCCAGTTTAAACCCCTAAAACAAGTTTGACAGTGTAAGGTACTATGGTAAACTTAGATTTATTTGCTTTCCCGGAAAGCAAATAAATGACAACATACATGTCAACTTGTATGAATTGTCCGTAAGTTATAAGGATTTTACATCATTTTGCAGGTATACGGACGTATAGGGCAATCTCACRGATTTTTTCAAGTCTTACGGATTTTTTCAAAACCTCATTTTCAAATTTATCTAACATGTCAGAGCCTGTAGGATGATTWAAAAAAACAATAAATAACATTAAATAGCCATCTTCCAACCTGTTCTGCCGGTAGAAATAAGTTTTGAACTTTTTCCACTCTCCTTTCCTCCTGCTTCGCAGCGGGCGCAGTGTGTTATAGGTAGAGTAGTTTATTTTTCCTGTAATACTTCATTATAGTTTTTTAAAACAAAGCTAATTCAAAGATGCGCTGAGCAGAGTTACAACCAGGGATTAAAATAATTACTATTTTTTTCTGCAGTTTGGCACCCCCTCCAGCAGATGGCGCTCTAGGTGACCGCGTAGTTCGCCTATGCCAAGAGCGTGTATTTCAAAAAGACTTCACTTTATAATGCTGCTGTGAGGACTTTTTTTTTCTCAACAGTCTGAACGTGAAAACTCCAATTTTTTCAGTCGGCTCTGATTGCAAAACTTCAGAACTGACATGCAAACATGTAGCATCCATGTTTTGCTAATTCTGTAAACAGTACGCTGAATGTGTCACCTTATTTCCTGCTTGTTTGGGTCACATTAGTGCCGTGTACAGTTCACACAGGAGTCTGAGGGAGGTTGCATTCAAAAAACGATGTGAACGTCCACGCAAAAAACTATTTGAGCACAAAATCTGAATCAATAAGACCTCGCTTAGTTTGGTCATGAGAGGTTGAATGGCTAAAGACTTCCCTCTGCCTACATCCCCCAGAATGCCRTGCGGTTCTAGACTGCAGTTCAGTGAAATTATTAAAAWTCTATCAGACTCACTTTGTATTGATTTTGATCACGTGTCTATCGTGGTAGATATCATTATTGTTTTATCGCTCACCTGTACTTGGAAGTAATGTAGCACAGCTGCGATATCTGTGGCAGTAGCGTCATGCTAACGTGTTCTTCAGCACATAGGTCTTAAAGCAGTGTGAAAAAGATGTGACACACAAGGCTTGTTTAYAAGACATCTTAGTTCGAGACTGAGACGTGTTCTGGCTGCTTTGGTCCATTCTGACGTGTGGCAAGGTGGGTCGAAGAGGGTCTRCCTCTGGTGCTCCTCTGTGCTACAGAGTGAGGTAGTAACCAAGCTTTTTTCTATTAAATCTGTCRTTCTGATGAACTGATGACATAGATGTAACTGTTTGATTAAACAGCAACAGAATTATTACCAAGGGAATTTTGATGACACACAGCAACTTTATGGTCAGTTTATTTTATACTACAAAGAGAATCCCTATAGCAAGTAAATTCAGTATTTCCTATGATCGATATGAGGCAGACATTAATTGTGTTGCGCTCCACTTCAGCCCATCTGACCTCTGCTCCACACGTCTTTTGGTTGCGCACTGCCTGCCTCATTTCTGAACGCTTACATCTGCGTGGGCCGGCTCTGTCTGTGATTTATGAATGACCAGAGGCACGATGAATGCAAACTGGTCTGTGCAGCCTTCTTCACAGAACTGTCTGATGAATGAGCCTAGTGGCACTGACAAAAAGACAGGAAACAGGACTGGAAGTGGTGGAGATGAAGATGCTGAGGTTCTCCTTGGGAGGGACGAGGACGGATAAGATTGGGAATGAGGTCATCGGAGGTACAGCACAGGTTGAAGAACTSGGTGAGGAAGTTAGAGAGACCAGGCTGAGATGGTTTGGASATRTCCAGTGGAGGGACAGTGGGATGGTGGAATGATGTTAGAGATGTTACCAGGAAAAAGACAATGAGTTCATGTATGGATGCAGTTAGAAAGGGCATGAAGGGAACTGGAATTAGGGCAAAAAATAAATAAAGATAAAAAATTGACATTAACAGGCACCTTTTTAAAACTGTAGTATGCAAAGTTGTCCTATATGTAAACACAAATGCATGCTAACATTAAGCTTCAAATTATCTGCAATCAAAAAAATTTAATGTAAGAATAGCAGAGTTCCTGCAGCTTTATGCTTTTTTTGCATTAATTTATACAACTCTGAACCAACAGTCAATGGGCCTCATGCAAGAACATGTTCGTATTCTTATCCTAAATTTCTCTTACTTTTGTTCGTACAAAGGGTTCGTACGAACATGCCACGTCAGATTCAACAAACTCTTCTATCTGCAGGAAAAGTGTGTAAATGAGCTGCGTAAATTCCACCTGTTCTCTCCAGCTGCTCGTGCACGCGAGAGATTAGCATAATTACTACCCCAAAAACACCACATAACGCCATGTTTCCTGCCTCAGATACAAGGAAGTGTTCATTCATGAAAATGACAGCGAAAACTAAAAAGAAAAACTTTACAAGTTCAGAGATTGAAGTCCTGCTGTCAGAGATCCAGAAAATAAAATCTGTCATTTTTAGCAGGTCAGCTGTGGAATAACAAGAGCTGCTAAAAGTATAAACAACAGTGTTAAATCATTTTCAATTATTCAGAAGCCGCAGTGCTACGCACTGTACACCCCCCTCCAAAGTCTGGCACTTTGGAGAAAACCCAGGACTCGCTGGAGGGATTGTGTACCCCCTCTGGCCTGGGAACGTCTCGGAGTGCCCCAGGACGAGCTGGAAGGTGTCGCTGGGGAGAACGGGGTCTCCTGCTGCCCCCGCACCCGATAGTGGATAAGCCGGCCGGACGGACAGTTTATATTGTTAGTCTAAATTATTACATTTAAAATTATAACTCTAATTCAAGCAGAATAGCCTATTGTCTTAATATACAATCTTAATAACATAATTATGGAGTGTGATTTATTTTCAACTCAAAATATCTTCAAACTAATGAAATATAAGGTTATTAGAGAAGAAAACCCGTCTGGATAACAGCAGACTGACTGCTCGTGAAATATACGACAGGTCTGGACCACTCGTAAATTTTGTTCATWTCTGAAAAAATCTTAGAATACGAAAACATTGGTGAATGCCACAAATTCTCCTAAATCACTCGTACGCACAATTTAGAACAAATCTGTGCGTACGAACGGTTCTTGCATGAGGCCCATTCTGTTTACTTGTTGTCATGCTTCTCCTCCCTTCTGTTCTGGTTCCCTCCCTCTGCGCTGGTTTGGACGACTTTCTGCTTTGGACATTTTCATTTCTTCCCACAGTAGCCAAGAAACAAATCTGCGCTGTCCCAAATTATCTGTTTGTTCTTATTTCTAGATAATCAGTTTTATTTGAAGCTCAGTATTTTCTGATGAGAAGTTGGGGGATGAAGAGCGGTTAAAGATTTTATTCTCTGATCCTCAATATTTAATGAAATAAAAGATTTTTATTCCTTTTGGGGATCGGTGACGTGTGGAGAGGGTAACTGTGGAGGGAAAAGTTTCAGGGAACTGTCAGATAAAATAAACATAAAATAAACAAATAAAGGCAACAGATGGGTGGAATGTAAACTGGGGAAGCAGGAAGAAAGGATGCAGACCAGTGATTAGATGCTGCTGCTTGCTCATTTCCTGAACAGTTAGGACATTTGACACGTTGATAATTCTGCATTCATTCAAACTACACTAAAAACTTAATTTGATGACTCAGTTGTGWAAGAGTWCAGTCTTAYACTTCTTATAACAAAGTCATAAGAGTAATTTATTTAGCAAGGGATCTCTTTTATTTTGGGTAAACATTCCCCCAGTGCAAAATTAGTTGTTCACAATCAAGTGTAGTCTAGTGATTCTGTATGATTTGTAAAATAAATGATCGCATATTTATGGATCAAATCAAYATTCACTGACTGAGAGCCACTTCTTGTGTCCATTCATTTTTGCACTGGGGGAATGTTTACCCAAAATAAAAGAGATMCCTTRCTAAWTAAATTACTCKTAYGACTTTGTTAWAAGAAGTGTAAGACTGAACTCTTACAGTTGCCATGTTTAAGCTGTTGGGTCATAAGTTGGGCTGGTTTGATCAAACACAGTATTGGGTCAACAGGTCTGAATTGACGGTTGGGTGGGAGATAACCAGACATTAAAATTTATCGAGRTTTCAGACCCCTCTWGTGACCGTTTGTCAAAAAAGCAACCAGTGACGAGTCCAACGACATTTTTTGGTTWTATTGGAAACCTTTGAAGTATATTAATATTTAACATAACACTGGCTGTACCACTCTAATTTAATTTTCTCTTTTTGATTCTRTTCAGGTGAGCAATGGATCATTCACCTGGGGAAACAACCTGCTGACGCTGTCAGACATCAGCATGCGCATCCCCACAGGTAGAGCTGACGTTTGTGGACAGATTAAAACAAACTGAAAACYGCAGAAATAAAAAATRMATAAATAAAAAGACAAGCTTTAAAAGTACTCAGATTTTGATATAAATGAACACTACTGTCTAAAGGTTAGGTAGCAACACATASAGTGTGGTACATAATAGACATCGTCAAATATGTTTTCACCTTTTTGTAAAGAAAAGAAATCTTTAAAACCAAAATCTGAAAGCAAAGACTGATGTTTACAAGTTGATTTTTAGGCAGTTTTAAAATTTTATTACATTACTTGTTAGTTTAAAGTTATTTTAATGACGATTATGGGATTTTCTCTCATTATTGAAAAGATACAAATTATTTTGCCACATCTGTCACTGGTGCTCGCCATTAACAAAATGGCTGAGCTAAAATTGTGCGTGGTAGGAGCTGAGATTCATCCACAATAGAAACACATTTCAAATGCTAACAGATCTTGTAAAGTTTTGCTGYATTAAATAGAATGGGCATAAAGTCATTTCACAGTTTAAAACAAGTCTACGACTGTTTCTTCTCAATCTAAAACTGGTATGAAAGTGGCAATATGCATTTCTTTAGGGAATGTTAAACTATTATTTCTGCTGTATTTCCTGGAATTTTTTTTTAACCTGTTAAGAATCAGTTTACGTTTTTTCCCCTAAGCTAGCACTGTGTTTTTTATGATTATCTTAGACTTAATAATGTCCTTTTGTTTATCAGTTCTGCCCCGCCCACTTTCACCTTCTCTTAGCTCTTTCCCCAGGTGGTTGTCRTTAAGTTCATTAGTGTTTCCTTTACATTCTGTTCTCCTCCGTGTGCTTTCCATAACCACTCATGATCTCACTCTTGTATTCTTGACAACTGTTTTGTAAACCCTGCACTACCACAGTTTATCTTGTAAATAAATTAGTATTTCTTTGTTGCTTGAGTTCCTGAATCCTGTCTGCACCCTGGAGTTCAAAACCACCTGCAGTGTTGATAATCTGGACAGGTTATAGGTTAAAAGGTGAAGTAAATCTTAAAATTTTAAAGGATGCTGTTACCTCTAGATTTACAGTCGTAGTGTTGGGTGGATGGATTGTGTTGTACGTTGCAATAGCTTATATAAATCTCTTGCAATCTGAGTCGTGCTACGACTAAGCAAACAGGATTTTCTGTTCTGCAAATGTGCTCATGTCCGACTCGAAGCTTCTTTTCCTCCCAGTTTGTTAAACCAAAGTTTGCTCCACCAAGTGCGGAGACTCTTTCAGGAGTGACGGCGGAGATGAGGCATGTGCTGYGGACGTTTAAATTTAGAGAAGGAATGATGTCATGAGAGGTGTAGCGTTTCAAGGAATTTTTTTGTGTTTGCAACGAGGTAGTTGCTCTGTTTGAACCGTCTGACCTGCGATTCCACTTTTAGATGCTAACAATTCTGTTGTAAAATGCGCATTAGTCTAGTTTTGCTACTTTTCGGGGTTTAAAGGGATGTTTTGCACATGTCCAAGCAGGGTTCTCTAAAGGTTATAAACAGTAAATATTCTACAAGTTAACCCTTTAAGAAAGTAAKTTTGGAGAGTTTAATTCTGGCCGAACAAACTAACCATTATGTTGAGTTGTTTCRGTAAGGTTTCTGTTATTTGTTCTGTCTCAGGTCAGTTGACGATGATCGTGGGTCAGGTTGGTTGTGGGAAATCCTCCCTGCTGCTGGCCATGTTGGGGGAGATGCAAGCCATCGATGGACGGGTTTACTGGAGCAAGTGMGTGACTTTAACTGCATTTTGCATTGTCTGTTATGATACTACTGTTGTATCATGAAGGTCTTTTTATTATAACCTAACTGACGATTATTGGCTGCATTATTTGACCCGTTTCTTTAGTAACAAAAACGAAACTTGAATRCATGCAGTTATAGGATCCGTTTTTATTATGTGTCTTTGAGTTTTTTCACTTTAATTTAACCTGAAGTTAATAAAATGCTGAATTATTTAGTGTTTTGTGGTAGAACAGGTCAGTTTATTTTATTTTTTTATCTTTAAGTTATATTTTACACTACAATAGAATTCTGACAGTTGTTCTTGATTTTATATTCCCTCTATAAAACATCAGATCTGTTAAATAATTTGATGTCTCTTTCCAATGTTTTAAAAAAAACAGATCAATGTTCTCTGAGTCTGTGCTTCCACTCTGTATTTCTTCACTTGAGAGAGAAGATCACGACAGATGCCAGCTGCAAATTAACTTTAGTGTGAATGTTTGGGTGTGTCTTTGTGTGTGTCTGTGTGTACTTTACCTCCTGCCTTCATTAAAATCAGGCTGCCTGATTGTGAGGTGGTCCACGAGGGGAACATCAGGTACTTCATCTCTCTCTGGTGTCATCTTTCTTAAACATTGGAGTGATTTCTGAATGGCCTGAGGCAGTGAGGGGAGGGGSTTTGAATCCACCCCWGATGCATCTTTATGCCACAAAGYGAGGTAGTAACAGAGCCGTGACGGTCAACATGTAAACAGATAAACCGGTTGTGTGGCTCAATAATCCTCATCCTCAGTTTGGAGAAATAAAGATTTTATCCTGTGGAGCTAACGGCTAGTCTGAGCCGTGATGTTGCACTAAAAAATACAATAATAAATGTAAATGTTGCAAAAKTTTAATAACACTGGAGCTGCCCAGACATCCAGTCTTGAACATTTTATGTGATTTATAATCAATCAATAAAGAAACGGGTGATATTAGTGGCTTTTGGGATGCAACAAAGGTTGCTTCCAGGACATGAGCCATGGCTGGGCTGAACACATTCACATGATGTGATTCAGTGTTTGTACGCTGAGTTCGGCGCTCTGCTGGATCAGATCAGAATGTCGATTGTGTAGCCGTAGACAATTTCAGAGTCAGTTTGAATTCCCCCCGAGGCGTGTAAAGCATGACACATCATTGTCGAAGAAGTCACAAAACCTAATTATCGCAGGCGGACGATGATTGAATCAGCCCCATCGCCTGTCTTTCCTGGGTGGGAAGGTTAATTTGATAAATGGGCGAACATGTCATCGCTGTCTGTGGTTTGACATGAAAACATTTTTTTACGTTTGATTCTGCTTTCTCCCTCATGTCTTAAACACAAAGAAAACTCCTTGCTTTTCTTTGTTTTTGTCCCGTTTCTTTGCTGTGTTGTTTTTTTTTTAATCACATTTCCACTCACAAACACAAAGTTCAATTTAATTCTAACCAACATGCTGACTTTGACAGTTGGTCAGGGACAGAGGAGTCTGAGGAGGACTTTGGGAGGTACATCTTCTTCTTCTGGCCTCCTGCTTTTTTTGTTTCAGATCTCAAGTGACCTTTTGACCCCTCATTCGCCTGCCCTGCTTCTCCTCCCATCCGTTTTAACTTCATTTGTTGTTGCTGTATTTTAACTAAGAGAAGGGGTGGACTTTACTTCAGAAGAGATTTCCTGCTCGCTCTGTTGCTCACGAACACAAACTTATTCACTAAATCTGTTTTCTGTTTGACATTAAACTATGTTAGGAATGAACGCATCACTGTAATCAAAATGCAGCATGGTTTATAAAACTCATTGGATATTTTTGGCTTCTATGATGTGGTATATGAAATCATTAAAACAGGGGTGCCCGACGTTTTTTGAACCAAGAGCTACTTTTGAAGTYGGCAGTTTGCCGAGATCTACTCGACCAGTCTCAGTATCAAAAAAACATAATTTGATCTCCCCACTCCTCACTTCTTTAAAGTAAATAAAACAGAACGTAATGTGTTGCTAGTTTTATTTAATTTAAAGTATTGTCAAACAAAACTATCTTCTTAACCATATATTTACCTACAAWAAAAGAAAAGATAAAATCCTTATTTAACTCCTGACAGAGAAACATAAAAGTGATGGTCGAACAAAAAGGATCAATTTTTTTTTACGAGGGCTGAAAACCTTCCCAGTGAGAACCACAGAGTCAAATAACTTTGGAGCACGGGAACTGGTGTCCATCAAAGAACTCTTCTCTCTTCTCTCCAAACAGGGGAGGAAAAACAAAACAAAAATCTATCAGGGTCAACATGGCTACCACAAGAGTGCCGCCCTTTTTTTTCAAAATCAAAGCACACAATATAAAACTCTCTCGCAGGTGGTTATAAAACCCGGTGCTGAGCTTCCAGGACCAGTTTTACCTGACAAAATCTGTTCCTTTTATTGCCTGGAAGTGATCCATCAGGTGGGTTTCTGAATTTTATGCATTATTGCAGAAATATCGCCCGCCAGGGGTTTCTGGCTAAATTCAGGCGGGAGAGCAGGTACTGAATGCAGGACCATGGTTCCACCTCACTGGATCTCTTCCTTTTATTTCCCTGCATCAGCACAAGCAGCCCCGTGCTGGAATTCAGCTGTTTCACCTGCCGGAGCTCGCCCGACGACTTTTGATTGCTTATATCTCCACAGGGGAACGTCCCAGGAACTTGCAACCACCTCCAGGTTGTAGCGGAGATCCAGAACATTAAAATGAGCCTCTCCCCCCCGGATCCGACGCTCAGAGCCGGCGCTAGAGGCTCCGGAGTAAATTGAGTACTACATCGCCCGCCAAAGCGCCTTTTTTGGCCGGTCATTGGTTAATAGCTCCACGGGGGAATGTCCCAGGAACTTCCAACGACTCCAGTTTGTAGAGGATGACCGTAGCTTTCCAAAATCATCTCACTTTCCCAGATCCGATGCTCAGAACCCGCAGGAGAAGCAAACGAAGGTTGAAATTTCCTCCCAAAAATGCGTGTAAAATGCACTAAGTCGTGCATAATTTGCTTATAGCTCCGCGGGGCAACATCACAGAAGCTCCATTCAAGTATCAGCTTGTAGGGCAGAACCAGAGCTTTAAAACCCGACCAGCCACTCTTGAATCTGATGCTCCTAGCCCGGGGAGAGGGGCTAAAACCACCCTTGGCGGAGGTCCGATGGTGCCTAATTTTGGAGGTTTTTCCACTTATATCTCCACGGGGGAACGTCACAGGGACTCCACTCAACTTTCTTCCTGTAGGGGAGAGCCAGGGCTTTAAAACCCGATCATTCACGCCAGAATCCAACGCTCCCAGCCTGGGAGGAGGGGCTAAAACCACCCCGGTGGGAGGTCAGACGGTGCATATTTTGGAGGTTCTTTGCTTATTGCTCCGCGGAGGAAAGTTGCAGGGACTTCATTCAACTTTCACCTTGTAGGGCAGAACCAGAGCTTTCAAACAAGACCAGCCACTCCAGGATACGACGCTCAAAGCCGGTGCCAGAGGCTCCGCAGCAAGGTCGCGCTGCGCGGGCACCTGGGAATCAGCTGGCGGGCGACGAGTCACCCGCGAGCGACTGGTTGGGCACTCCTGCATTAAAACATCACTTTCTCCATCTCAGTGCTACAGATACTGCTAACAAACATTAACTAAGCTCTTCATGGTATTTCCTGCATAGAAACAGTGTTTTAACACGTCCTTTTATAAACACTGAAAAGTACATGTACGAGTGATTAAATGGGAAATAAATAATACAGAAATACTATTAAAAATAAAAGTAGGAGTTTTACTCACTGTTGAGTTGTGAGTACCATCCATCTTAAATTCTGAACTCTTCCTCTTTCTAACAGGGAATTCCCACTGGAGGAACATTCCAGTTTAAATTTACAACCTGTAAGTGGGGAAATTCCCACTTCCCAGTACAACTGGACCACAGCAAAAGTAGCCAGTAACTGGCATTTGAACCCTGTACACCTCAACCTTGTGGGTAAATTAATCAGCATGCATTATGGGTGATGTAGTTTATGGTTAATTCTGGCTCTAAAGCAGAATACGCCTTTTAAAAGATATTAATACATCTTTGAAGCTCTCGTGGGCAAAAAAAAATGCTGTGGCTGGCCACATTTGGCCTGTGGGTCTGGATTTGACACATGTTGTAGATGTGCATCCAATCATTTATTTTTAAAAGTTACAATCTGGTCAATGGGTTGTGGGATATTTTGGTGACAGACAAATAAATACACAGAAATGCACTCAGAGGCAAACATAATGCCCGTCTTTTGCCTTCTGGTGGCAGGCAATAACGTCATTAAACAAGATGCTGCAATTCACTAAAATAATTACGTTCTCACAATTTGAGGAGGTATAAAAGCAAAGCTGTGTCCACACCTTCCAAGGACCAATAGTCCAAAGTAAATTCAGACAATCTTTAATCAAATTTAGTTTTTAAATCACAGACAAGCAGCACATTGTTAATATGTTTGTGTTCAGGAGCAACGGCAGCGTTTAGTTTTATCTGTTCATTATGTTTCCATTGTGAATGTTGGTTTTCTGCACTGATCCCTGAGTGGTTTGTTTTTATAATGCTGGGAGTCGTTCTGCTACAGATCATTCAAATCTGACTTGTGCATCAGTTTGATGCTCTAAAACACATCAGCTTTTTTAACAGAAAAACACAAGTTTTGGTTTATACACTATGTACAGTATTCATTTGCTGTATTCCAAACTGTGCAAATATTAAATTGTGTAATATGAAATTATTATTATTATTATTATTATTATTA